TGTTGGTCCCGCCCCAGGCCCCGCACCAGCAGCTACCCCGGTCCCACGAGCGGTGGGTGCGGCCCCGGGGGGGGTCCGGGGTGGGGCATAAAACCCCATTTTTGGGGCTTATCCCATGTGATGCGCGCTCTCGCTGCGCACCCCCCACTATTTTTTTATTTTTTTTTTGATTTTTTTTTTTTGGGGGGGGTCTGGAGCCGGGGTTGGGGATGCCCACCCCCGGACCCCCGGACMCCCGCCAGGGCCCCGGGGCCGGGGCTCGAAAACACTGCCCCTACCCAAGCATTTGGATGGGGGGACCTGAAACCACTTTCAGAAGCTTCAGCCACTTCAGGTCATTTCAAAGGTTTCAGGTTTCCCTCCCGACACTCCTGAAATAACCTGAAGTGACACACAACAACGTTGACGGTTAAACCAAAACAAAAACAGGTGAAAAAAAAACGAAAAACAAAACATAAAATCTGACTTTAAAACCACCTGAATCTCCTGAAATGACATGAAGTGTCTTCATGCCATTTGAATGATTTCATACCTCTGCTAACAGACTTCAGAATCTTTCATTCTGAAATTTCAGTAGGTCGTTAACCACTTGTATAGCGGTTGGCGCTCGAGCGAGGAGAAGGGAGGAGTGGAAGTAAGAGAGAGAGAGGGGGCACTGATTGGAAGAGAGGAGGGAGGGGAGGATCGGTGCAGGGAAGAGAAACGGGTACATAAGGAAGTGCGAGAGTAAGAAAAGGATCGCGCACGAGATAGGCGTTGGCACGCACGGAGGGGATTTTCGCGTCCGAGGCAACTTAGCGCACTTCGGAGCTGCCTGCGGGGGAGAGGACTCGGGACGCACGTCTGCGCCTTGGTTTCGACTCGCGTCTGCGCACCTGAGCTGATGCTCGTCCGCGCATTTGGGCTAGAGCACGTCCACACGCTGGCTAGGCTCGAGCTCGGGCGAGCTCGTAAGGGGGAGAGAGGAGACAGGGAGGTAGAGAGGGAAGAGGGAGGAAAACGGGCGTAAGGGAGAAGAGAGTGCCCTTAGAGACATTGGGGACATTTCAACGGCCGCGAGTACTCGAAAGCGAGGGCTGCGGGGGATCGAGAAGGAGAGAGAGGGGGATAGGGAGTGGAAGTAAGCTTGGGCACGAGGTAGCGGCAGACTGACCGGGACGGGGCGCGCGAGGTCGAGAGAGGGAGACGACGAGGATCTCAGGGCCACTGGTGAACAAGTTGTACTGCGACTCTGTCGATCGATAGTCAGGCCGGCTTCGGGGCCTCGCGGGGGGGAGCAGGCACTAGGGAGAGGAGAATTAGGAAGAGGGAAGGGACGAGAAGGAGGATAGAGAAGGCGAGGGGGAAGGCGTGAAGGCAGTCGCTCTAAGATTGTTGTCTTTCGCCGGCGTTCTCCTCCAGCCCACGTTCGTGGTTTTAGGAAGCCGCAACAAGCTTCTCAAGATCACTACGACACACTCACGGGCTTCTCCGGGCCTTCTCGGGCGACGAGTTGCTCTCTACGGGCTTCTCCCTGCGGCCTCTGGTTACGACCGATTTCTACACTTCCCGACTACGCGCTCGTCGTCGACCAGCTTTCCGAGATACCGCCGGGACGACGAATTGCTCACTCTGCCCGGTATCCCCCATTCGTGGGTTTCTTCTTAAGGAGCTCCCCGCCGAGAGCTTCCCACTGAGCGTGGGTTACTCACTTTTGTTGGGCTTCTTCTCTGAACTTGCTGGTTGACGAGCTCTTCTAGCAAGCTCGCTGGTTACTCTCTCTTCTTTGATTACGGGCTCTTCTTGCGAAGTCACTAGTTACTCACTTTTGTTGGGCTTCTTCTCTAAACTTGCTGGTTGACAAGCTATTCTAGCAAGCTCGCTGGTTACTCTCTTCTTTGATTACGGGCTCTTCTTGCAAAGTCAGTAGTTACTCACTTTTGCTGGGCTTCTTCTCTGAACTTGCTGGTTGACGAGCTCTTCTAGCGAGCTCGCTGGTTACTCTCTCTTCACTGATTATGGGCTCTTCTTGCGAAGTCACTAGTTACTCACTTTTGCTGAGTTTCTTCTCTGAACTTGCTGGCTACGAGCTCTTCTTGCCACCTCGCTGGTCACTCTCTTTTTGCCGATTACGAGTTCTTCGCGTGAAGCCACTATTTACTCCCCTTTTGTTGACGAGCTTCTCTGACCTTGCTGGTCACGCGTCCTTCTTGTGAGCTCGCTGGTCACTCAAGATCGCTGATCACTCTATTTTTGCCGATTACGAGTTATTCTCGTGAAGCCACTAGTTACTCCCCTTTCTGTCTCTTATACACATCTAGATGTGTATAAGAGACAGTTCTTCGCGTGAAGCCACTATTTACTCCCCTTTTGTTGACGAGCTTCTCTGACCTTGCTGGTCACGCGTCCTTCTTGTGAGCTCGCTGGTCACTCAAGATCGCTGATCACTCTATTTTTGCCGATTACGAGTTATTCTCGTGAAGCCACTAGTTACTCCCCTTTTGTTGACGAACTTCTCTGACCTTGCTGGTCACGCGTCCTTCTTGTGAGTTCGCTGGTCACTCAAGATCTCTGATCACTCTCTTTTTGCCGATTACGAATTCTTCTTGTGAAGCCACTAGTTACTCCCTTCTTGTTGACGAGCTTCTGTGACCTTGCTGGTTACGAGTCCTTCTTGTGAGGTCTCTGGTCACTGAAACCTTGTTGATTTCGAGCTTCTTTTTGGAACATTCTGGCCACAAGCTTCACTACGAGCTCGCAGGTTACTCACTTTTTTCTTCTAGTTGTGAGTCTTTCTATGAGCTGACTGGCGTGCCCTGAATCTACCGAACTACGAGCAGGCTCGAAACGGGCTTCTCTATAAGTGGTGGGCGAGAGCTTACCTCCCTTGTTCGCGCTCTAGAATCGCGGTAAACCTTAGTCCAGAAACTGACCCTCTAGAAATGGCAAAACGTGATTGAGAAAACTGACTAGGTTGGGCGGGGTGCAGGCAGTAGACGCTACCAGGGCCGTTCGTTGTATGGAACAAGGAGGTGCCAGAAGCCGTGCTCATCAATCCTATCACAACTAGGGAAATTAGAGGAGGGTCTGACCGACACCGGAATGGTCTGATTGAGGGTTGGTGTTCGGGCACAACGCGGACCTGAAGAATGCAGCGGAAGCCGCAAATCATGGCTGTATCGGAAGCGGGCCCGCGGCGGACGACGATGGAGATGTGGGGAGTTGACACGTGGGTTCGTCCGTAAGGCAGCGGCGGGGTGGGGATCGCCGACGGATTGGCGCGTGGGATCAGGAAACGACGAACTGTGCGCCTTCAACTGTAGACGTTAGTGCACTGGCGGGATGGGTGTTGGTGGTTGAGCGGGGGGAAGGTGCGCGGTCCAACGGCGTGGCGACGTCGGCAGATGGCGTCGAAGTACATGTGTTTTGAACGGTTTTTTTTTTTTTTTTTTTTTTTTTTTTTTTTTTTGGTTTTTTTGTTTTTTTTTTCTTTTTTTTTTTTTTTCTTTTTTTTTTTCTTTAATTCATTTCTTCTTTTTTTTTTTTTTTTTTTTTTTTTTTTTTTTTTTTTTTTTTTTTTTTTTTTTTTTTTTTTTTTTTTTGACTGGAACACATTTTACAGTTGTGCTCCACAAAAGGGTATCTTAGCTAAGTGGATGACACCTCCGTCTTTTGTGTGGGTCGTTTGGAGGGTGGATAGTTAGGATAAAAGTGGATCGCCGCCTGAACATTGTTGTGTTATTGAATGGATTTCCTCATATTTATATTTCTGTGTCGACGGCGTGTGTTTGAATGCTTACGATTGCTCACACAATCCTGTTTTTTTTTTCTTCTATGTGGGTTTATCATGTGACGAATGTGTTAATAGCCATTGCATTCTCGTCCACGTCTTCTTATGTATGAGGCCCTTCATTCGATCTTAGGAATCGCACCATCGTTATCATCGTCGGCACCTGAGAAAACAAAAGAAAACAATGAAAACAGGAAGGAACCTATCCTCGCACTTTCATTGTCATTTTTTTATGTTTGTTGGCCATCTTCCGTTCATAATGACCACCAAATCGTGATGATCGCCGGCACCGGACGGAAGCAAAAAAATAAAAATAAAAAAAAATCAAAGGAAGGTCACCGTGAAGTTGCCAAAATAACCAATCTGTCGTGAGTTTCTCTTTCATTTTTTTTTCTTACTGCATGTAAGTCGTTAGTGGAACAACGAAGCTTCACCGATTGACTTTAGCAAACGCAGAGAAGTGCAGACGACATGCATGACAGACGTTCCATGTACTCGATAAAAACATGTGTTCTCGAAAATAGGATAGCAGTCGGACGCACGAACACGTCCTTACACAAACATCATAAAAAACACATATCGTTGAATTTGAAGAGAAACAGCACTGTAAAGCGCATGCGAAATAGCGGGCTGACGATGTGCTTCGTGCCGCCCCTCATCTCCCGCCTTTCCCCCCCCTCACTACAGCAACCAGGAAGACCGAAACAACAACCACACTACCGTTGCAGCGACTTCAACAAGAATGAAGCCGCGTCACTGCCAATGATCGACGAACTGGACAAGCAGTCTACTGTCGACTACAAGAACAAAACCCTAAAAACAACCCGTCCGCGACGGCAAACCCTCCGAAGCAATTGCGCGCGTAAGCGAAAGACGCAAGCGCTATGAATCGACGATGGAGAAACACGACGTCAATGAAGAAGTCTTCTACGAGAGAAATAGGCAGGCGGTAGGCTGGATCACATGTGTTTCATTCGCTCCACCAGCGCATTGCGGAGCGCGTGTGCCGCGTGCGTCGAAGTCAACATCGTCACTGGCGGGTGGCATGATGAATCCCCAGGTCCAGTCGGCTCCTCACCCCGTTCTCGTCGACCTCCCACAACAGATTCTCGTCGAACTCGATACCGGTGTCGAGCAGGATGTTGTGAAGAATGCAGACGGCCGTGAACTGTTGCGGTAGAGTGTCGAGGTTCGTCTTGTGCGTCCGCAGGAAGAGCCCCCACATCCCCTTCAACCTCCCTAACGCCCTCTCAACAGCCCCTCTTCCGACCTTCTGCTTCGTGTCGAACCTTTCCTCGTCTGGGTGCTGATTGATTCCTCCATATGGAACCACCACCCATTCAGAAGGAGGATACCCGTTGTCACCCAAAATGTATCCGTTCGTCCTCACCCCTCCCGGCAGCGTGACAGGCGGCCCACGAAACAGCATTCCCTCTTCCGCGCACGCGGACAGACTTGACAGGTGGATCACCCTAATGTCATAGCAGTTCCCCGGATATCCAACGAACACATTAAGCACGTGCAGATCCAGGTCCACCAACACCTGCGCAATGACAGAGAAATGGTCCTTGTGGTCAAAGTAGTTCTCGCTCGCCACGTTCGCCGGTTTGTCCACGTAGATGTGTGTGCAGTCAACTGCGCCATGGCAGTTGGGAAAACCCTTGTCCAGGAACGCCCGTAGCACGACGTGTTTCCACGCCCCTGTCGGCCTCGATATCTTGTCCCTTGTACACCCTCAACATAGCGGTTATCACATTGCGCACGAACTCCGGAAGCCCTGCCCATGCCGAAGGATGATGTGCTGTTGTCATACGACTCTCCTGTAGCCCACCTGTACAGCGCGTACTTGACGATCTGCTCCGGCTGAAGTGGCTCCCTATAAAACGTCACCTGTCATTGCAAATGAGCCGCACAGGCTTCAGTGATCTCCATGAACACTCTCCTGGACATCAAGAGCTTTTCCCGGAAGTAGTCGTCTGTCGCGTCATCGCACACCCGCAAATCCTCCAAGGTCCCGCCAGCTTTCCGCCTCATCCACCAACGTGGCGTCGCCCGAGGAAGCACACTTCACGCGATTGCAGCGCACAGTTGAACCACGGCCTCGGAAGTGGTAATGCAGTCCGGGGCGTCCAACACCCTCTACAGCAGAAGCCTCTGCCGCTGCCTCGAAAGTGTTGCCTTCATGCGCCCAGCCGCCCTCTCGACTTGGAATCGACGGACAACGACAACCACAGCCGCCACGACAGCTGTCTTCTCCATCGTCGACAGCAGAGCACGACCATCAACATTGCAGCCCTCCATTACGCCCTTCCAACACGAAAAACAACTTCCACCGCCACCGAGCTGCATCTACGTCTGCCACCACAATTGAAGACGCCTGCAATCAAGTCAAGAAGACAACCGTGCTCAACGATGTTCCACCCCGATTGGAGCGTCCGTCCACCGCCGCTGAAGTACGAAACCGTCGAGCGCCTCCACGTGGCGAGCACAACTGCCGATACCCCTCTTCGTTTCGCCGCGTCGACCCCACTTGAGACAGTGGCGGTGCGGCGCCGCTAAAGTATGCAACGTGATGGCAACCAAAAACCTACGAGGCGTGCACTGCCCCCCTCGCTTACCCTCCTGTGCGCCGCCACACCGTCGCTCCGCAAGACGCAAATTCGAATTTCGAATTTTGAACGGGGCCGTTCCCGCGTTGGTGATTTTTTTTTCCAAGGCCAGCGACGTATTGTCGCCGTCCGCCTGCTGGACCGCCATGCCTCCTACACGGACATCCCGTATCAGAGGTCGGACAATCCCCTCGCGGCCATGTATAATCTAATGAAACTGGCCGCGGGAGGGCACCGAGGAATCGTCCTCGGGGCCATTTTCCGAGGACAGGTGGAACGACACCTCCAAAAATAAAAATAAAAAACTCTGAGGATTTGTCCTCGGAGCCCGAGGACGCGCTGAGGAGTGTCGAACGGCGCCCATATATGACATGTGGACCAAGATTCAAGGACCACCAGCCTCGACGCGAATTATGAATCAAGGTATGTCAAATATCTAATATACTAATGCCATACAAATTACCTAAATCCCACACGTTCCAACACTAACAGATGTGATAAGCACAAACACCCTAAGTATCACACAAACACACACACACTAATCTCAACACATACACACAAATACTCCTTTTTTTTAATGCAACAATCACCCTACTTCTAAACCTCACCAATAAGCCGTCCTTTATCAATCAAGCATATACAAACTCCGGGTTTTGCACCCGTGCCCTCACGGTAAGTCAATTGGATATGTTAGGACCGTGGCCCTGGTAGCCGTGAACTGGTGCATGTGGGGCCCAGTAACTGCCCTCAGGAGGCCGCCATCCTTGAGCAGTCCTTCACTTGTAAATTTTGAAATGAAAACAGTGTGGGGGCAGGGGCACCAAGTCAGGGAAGAGGAGAAGTCCGAAAGCTCGCAAGAAAGGGCAACTGCCCGTGGTCCAGAAAGTGTTCCTCGATGCAGGTCGAGACGACACTTGCAGTAGATGTCCCTAGATCTGGAGTCAATCAGCGCCCGATTCAAACACATCTGCCTGTTGTCTGCACGCCAACTGACATTTGTCTCTCTCTCTCTCTCTCTTTCTCTCTCTCTCTCTCTCTCTCTCACACACACACACACACACACACACACACACACACACACACACACACACACACAAACATTGAGTACCGCATGGGCGCGGGGAACGTAGCCCTAAGGTAACCAAAGCGATGGAACTAAGGATACACACAAGAGAGAGAGAGATGGAGAGAGAGAGAGAGAGAGAGAGAGAGAGAGAGAGAGAGAGAGGAGACTGGATGGCAAATTGAAATATGGGTCAAATTGTGGCCACGATTTATTTTCACAGGAATCACAGGTGGAATGATTTTTTTAAATTTATTTAACGTTTTTCTTGGAAAGATCACAACAAAATCTACGAGTACTCCAATTTTTAGGTTTTTTCACGCATTCTTCTAAGTGCGAAAACTCACTGAATTTTAAGTATTTTTTTAGTTGGTCCACATATCGCTGAGTGACAAAAATGAAAAATGTGCCGAATCGGCACAACAATGATTTCACGATCTAAATGATTTTTTTTAAATGTGCTCATATTTTTCCTGGAAAGAAAACCACCTCATCTATGGATTCTCAAAATTTCATATTTTTTTGCGGGTTACTCCAAGCATAAAAAATCACCAGAGTTGTCTCTTGCAAAAGACATATTTCGTTGCGGCTGACCTCCCTGTTTTGAGAAAACGGGCCTCAACGTCTGCTCTTGAGGGTCCTTTTGCAGTATACATGCCCTCATTTCTTTTTGGGGTCCGCTTCCTTTCGAGCACTGCTCCGACGTCCCCACTTCTTTTTGGGGTCCGCTTCCATCCAAGGACCGGTCCTCCCTTTTTCTAAAAGTCCTGGTTCTACCCGAGCTAGTTGTAGGTAGTCCGGAATTTTGCTAAGGACCGTCCCCCAATTGTTATTGCCCCCTAAGAACCCACTTTGTTCGCAGCCGCGGTATAATGGGCTTCGGCATCTGTGTAAAGGTGTCGTATTTTTTGTGGCGGGCGACCAGGATGCAAAGTGGGATCTTAGGGGGCAAAAAAACTTTCGGGGACCGGTCCTTGGCAAAATTGCAGACTACCTACAGCCAGCTCTGGTAGAACTAGGACTTCTGGAAAAAGGAAAGACCGGTCCTCGGGTGAAAGTGGGTCCCGAAAAGAAGTGAGGGATCCGACCCTCTGGCCCGGGTTCAGGTCCGTCTTCTCAAAACAGGGAAGTCAGGCACAACGAAACAGGAGAGAAGGTTAAGAACAGTCGTATTTTTCATCACCGCTTCAGGACACCCTTCACTACTTCATGATGCAACCTGCCTAAACATGTGGTTTTCAAGGTCTTCGGACCTTTCACCACTTCAGAACACCCTTTACCACTTTAGGACGCAGCGTGCCTAAACAAGTGGTTTTCAGGGTCCTCGGACCTTTCACCACTTCAGGACCATTCAAGTCTGAAAATCCTGAATGGTCTTGCAGTGGTGAAAGTTTCGAAGCCCCTAAAAACCACCTGTTTAGGCAGGCCGCATCCTTAAGTGGTGAACGGTGGTTGTCATGAACTTCGGACCTTTCACTACTTCAGGACCATTCAGGATTTTCAAACTGCCCAAAACTCTCACTGGACCACTTCAGGACACCCTTCATCACTTCACGATGCAGCCTTCCTAAACAGGTGGTTTTCAGGGTCTTCGGACCTTTCACCACTTCAAGACCATTCAACATTTTCAGACTGCTAAAAACTCTGACTTTCGAATTTTCATTCCTGAATTTTCTGCCACCCGATAACCGCTTGTGCGAAACAGGCGTTTTGCAAGAGACAACTTTCTCGATTTTCTATCCTCAGACGAACCCGCAGAAAAATTTAAAATTTTGAAAATCCATAGATGAGGTTATGTAATTTCCAGGAATAATATTATTACATTTAAAAAAATAATTTAGACTGCAAAACAATCATCGCGTCGATTCGACATATTTTCAATTTTTGTCACTCAGCCACGTGTGGGTCAACCAAAAAAATATTCCAAATTGTGTATCGTGTGAACGCGGGGAACGCAACCCTAATGTCGCCAAATCGATGAGACTAAGAGCTCTCGCACAAGAGAGAGAGGGAGAGAGAGAGAGAGAGAGAGAAGGGGGGGGAGGGGAGGGACTACCAGAGAGAGAGAGAGAGAGAGAGGCACAAAGAGAGAGAGAGAGAGAGGGAGAGAGAGAGGCGAAAAAAAAAAAAAAAGTTTTGTTCTATTTGTTGATACGAGTGAGAGAGAGAGAGATAAAGAAAATAGAATAGAGAGCGAATACAGAAGTAAGCAGCACCCCCCCGCTCCAATACTCTGATATCCCCGAATCAATACGATCGATAATAGCTCATTACAACACAAAAATACGCATGTGCCTCTACGCGTTTCGCCGCTGGCGTATACAACGCGCTCATCAGGAGGCTCCCCTCTTAACTCACAAAAAACATTCACGACTCGGGATACCAGGTAAGTCCTTCCTCCCTTCCTTATATCCTCTCTCTACATGTGCATCCTACCTACGTGCCTGCTTGAAAACTTCCCCCTGTTGTTCCTACTTTTTCCCTTCTCTTCGCTAACCTTCCAGATTACAGATCTGCCCATCTACATTAATCAGACATACTATGTTCCCGCTTTTTTTCGTTCTTTTCCTTTTTTGTATTGTCTTCCGGCCCCACCTATTCTTCCTCCTCCCTCCTACCTTCCTTCCTGCCCGTGCTGATATGAGTCGTATCCTCGTACGAATCATACTATCTGTCGATCCTTCCTCTTGTATCTTGTCTTCGACAAACCGAATGCTCCGTTCCCCGCTCGGAAATCGATTCTCCCACCGATTTTCTTCCACTTCAGCCTGTATTCCCCGAATATGGATCTGACTCTACCTGTTCCCCGTACATGCAGTATCCTTTCTTGAATAGCTCTATGTCATGGTTCTTTTTCTCCTTCCGCCCCGGTTCCCCTCTCTCCTCACTATTGGAATAGCTCGTCACTTACCTTTCTTCTTTCGCCATTCATTTTCCTTATACGGTCCCAACTTTGTCCTCCCCCGCAGCCCTTCCAGCGCCTCTACTTTTACACCCCCTTGGACCCATGTATCTGCTCAGTCCGGGATTCTCCGCGGGGAGATAAACCCCCCACGGACCGTCGGACATCCTTGCGAACTTCGCAAGGGCCCCGAGAGAGACCTCTGGGGGGTACCCCCGGAGGCGAGTTTCCCACATCAGAGCTGCGATCGCAACTTTCATCGCTTCAACCGAACTGGAGATTTGAATCATTCGGACGAGAGTTGCGTACACCACCGCCTTCTTGGCTGATTTTCTTGTGAACGAGGCATAATCCTGCATCGATTGTACTCTCAACGTCCCATCATCGGGCAGAGTCATCCGATTCCTGGTTCTGGGGGAAACACTAATACTTATGGGTTCAGTTTCCACAATAATACGAGTCCCAAAAAAATCAAATGCATTTCCCCCCCCATCCTTCCGAACGAGTTTCAGATTGTCATCATAGAAGTGCTCAAAAACATCCAAAATCCGGATCGCCTTTCGGAATGTCTCAGGTATGTCTGATGCACATCCCACCATCACGGCCACATCATCTATCATCCTTATCCCTCTTATCGTCACTCCCTCCCCCGCCGTCCTCGTCATAAAAGCTGACTCGGCTCTAGCACATACCAGACAGGCCAATGCAGGGCTGGAATTCCTTCCCATGAAAATTCCAAAACTTTGTACCATTATGCTTCCTGCGCATCGCACGAACGAATGTGACAACTCGAATGTCACCTCCCTTTTAATATCTTCAAATTTCATGACCACAAATCCATCTTCCTTCCGTACTT